GCCCCGGGTGATTTATTTCGGGGGCGGAAGCCGAAGCCTACCCGCGCCAGTCAACGATTCGGGCAAGTCGATGGGCGGCGGGGGTAGGGCTCGGAACTCGTCGAACACGTGGCGAAATCCGAACCCTGTCCCCGCCTCCCATCGCTTCGGGAGAATCGATGGCTGGCGGGGGTAAGGTTCGGATGCTGTCACCTCTTATCGATGCCGCCCCAGGATTCCCTTCTGAGCCCGTTCGCCTTTTGAGCCCAGCTCGGCCACCGAGTGGGCCACCGAACCGGGGCTCAACCACGGCAGGGCTGTGCGAAGTTGGTCCCTGCTCAGCAGCCGAGGGGCTCCATCCCGTGTTCTCGCTCGGCGGCCGAGTGAGTTCAGACGCCGAACGGGGTCATGAAGTAATCTCTGCATGGCCCTGCCCCAGTCTCGGGGAACTAACAATGACATAAACATAAAAACTCCGCGGTCCGCGCTGATTTCTCGAATCGGCGCTGGACTCCCTGGCGGCGCTTTCGGCGCCGCCTTGGCGCCGCCCCTGGCGAGCTCCGCGCGCCAGGGAGGCGGATCCAGCGCCGATCCGAGAAATCCGCGCGGACCTCTGAGTTTTCTTTTGTTTATGTCTTTGTTCGTTCCCCTACAATCGCCCTCCAGAGGCCCGAAACTTGCCAACAGGTATCCGCCACGGCTTCTGTCGCAGCAGGGGTCTCTGGCTCGGCAGAGCTCTGCTTGGCTCAGCGGCGAGCCTGGGGGGGGGAGCGAGGAGGGGCGGGCCTTTTTCAGAGGGTCCGGAAGTCCCCCTGCCTTCTGAGAAGTGTTCTGAGCGTTCCCCGCAGACGCAAAAAAATTCTCAGAGGGCCGGCTGGCTTCTGAGAAGCCCCGCCGCCTTCTGAGAAGGCCTCCTCCTCCTCCTCGCTTCCCCTCCTCCTCCTCCTCCTCCTCCTCCTCCTCCTCCTCCTCCTCCTCCTCGCTTCCCCTCCTCTTCCTTTTCCTCCTCGCTTCCCTCTCCTACTCCTCCTTCTCGCTTTCTCCTCCTCCTCCTCCTCCTCCTCCTCCTCCTCCTCCTCCTCCTCCCCCTCCTCCTCCTCCTTGCCCCCCCCCCCCATCGCTCGCCGCCGACTGGAGGGGCCCAGGGCTCTCCCGGGGCGGAGGGGCCCCCCGAGGACCGCAGAGATCCCCCCAGGGGCCTCTGAGAGTCCAAGAAGGGCCCGAGGGCATTCGAGGACGACAGACTTGGCGGCGCGCAGAGGGGGGGCAGGGGCAGGGGGGAAGGCTTCTTGGAAGCCCCCCTGCTTCTTAGAAGGCGCGGGGTTTATCTGTAGATGTAGGGCCGACGCCATCTAAGAAGCAGCGTCCTTCTGAGAAGCCTTCCCCCCTCCCCCTACCCCCTGCCTTGTGCACGCCGCCAACAAATGCCATCAAGACCAGCTTGCGGAGGTCTGCTGTCGAAGGGCCGAGAAGTTCGAAGAGACATTCGGCGAAGGGCCGAGAAGCTCGAAGAGGACATTCGAAAAAGGGCCGAGACGTGCGAGAGACGCCATCAAGATCAACTTGCGGAGGTCTGCTTTCTTGGATCGGCGCTGGGCCCCGCGGCGCCTCCGGCGCCGCCCTCGGCGCGCTCCGCGCGCCATGGGAGGGGGTCCAGCGCCGATCCCAGAAATCCGCCCGAGCATTCTTTTTTGTAGACATTCCGCGGAGCAGTTTAGCCGTAATGAGGTCATGTAGCGACGTGCGGTCGTAGGACTCTGCAGTCCAACCCATTCTCTTTGGGCGTTGAGCGTTCCAGCATTCGCCATTGCTTCTGGCCGCAGAGTTCCCAGTTACGCTGGGGCCCTGGTTTTGCACTGAGAAGCAGCTTGTGGAACACTGATCATTGGCTGTCTACGTCCCACTCCCTTCCCTCGGTTCCCCCACGCGAAGATATGCGTTGGGAGAAACCGTTGTTTATTCTTCTAAGTCGGACTGCGGTACAAGATCGAGGTCGGTTCACGGATGGTGCCCTATTGTTTTTAGTGTTTGTTGGATGTATTCGTGCATCTTGGGGAGTGATCCTTGGATGTTCGGTGTGTGTGTGTGTGTTGGCCGGCGGAGGGTCCCATGTTCTTGGAGGATGTTATTATGTTTTAGGCTCGACCGTAGATGTCCCATGATTTCGATCCCAGGACACATGGGCTCCAACTGAGAAGCAGCTCTGCTTCACCCGCCATGAGGGGACCTCCCTGAGGGGACCCCGCCCCTCTCTATTGAGTTTTTACGCGTCTGCCGGTCACGCTGCATGTTCGTGTTTTTCGAGAGGCCAGGGTTCTCCCCGCCTGGTCGTAGCCAGGCCATAACGATTGTCTTCAGTGGTGGTTCGTTTGTTCGTGCCCTCAGGGCCGATACGGAGTTGTGCCAGAAACCTTGAGCGCAATGCGCGCTGAGGGTTTACACGGCTATCATAAGGTTCGCGCGTCGTGAAGCGCATCAGCAGCAGCGCTGCCCACCTGCAGTCAACACTTCGTGGGTTGGTGCCCGCTTTGGTTTCGGAAGGGGCTTGATGCCATCACGCGTTGGGCCAGCGGAGAGAGCATTCAAGAGGAGCCCTCCTAAGTGGCCGAACCGGCCGCCAAACAATGCAAGAAGCAGCAGTTCGAAGCAGTGGCAAGGACGGCGCAGGGACAGCGCCGGGATATTCAAAAAAACAACACCAGGACAGGGTCTCCTTGGCTGCCCACGAGGGGCCGCGGGCGCGCGCCCTCCCTCCTCATCGTCCTCCGTCTTCGCACTCCCTCCTCCGGTGAGGGGGCAAAAAAGTGGAACCCCCTCGTCGTCGATACCGTGTTCGTCCCCCCCCTTCGCCCCGACTCAGAGTTGGGCTCCGGCGTAGTGGAGGCCCCGGGGGTTCCACTTTTTGTTGTCCTTTCAAGTTTGCGCTCTTGAATGTCTGGGAACAACTTTGAATGTGGGGGGAGGGGAGGGGCAGAGTCAAGGGCTCCGCTTTTTTGTCCATCTACGGTCCCCCTCCTCCGAATCGTGGGGCCCCGCTGGATCCCGGCCAGCTGGCGATTTGAGGCCAAGGCGCTTGTCGCTCGGGCGTGTGCATGTTTTCAGAGAGCACCATCGAGGAGCATATTGGGTCAGCTTGCGAAAACATAGACGCACGAAATAGAAAAGTGCACATGGAATGGACGTCCGAGCGATGGCCAGGGCGCTGCCGTGCACTAGGAGGCGCCACGCACCTCTGGGCCCTTTGCGCACGCGGTGTGCATGTTGCGTGTGGCGCACAAAGAGCTGGCACAGTGCCAGGACAATGCCAGGACAGTGTCAAGACTCTGTCAAGACAGTGCCTGCACAGCGCCAGGACGGTGAAAAGCAATGCCAGGACGATGCCAGGGCATTGAACAAATATGCCGCGACAGTGCTAGGACAGCCACAAAAACAGTGCCAGGACAGTGAAACAAACAGAGCCAGGACATTGAAGACCAGTGCCATAACAGTGCCAGGACAGTGAGAAAACCATGCCAGGACAGCGACAGGAGAGTGAAAAAGCAGGGCCAGGACAGCGCCAGGACTGCGCCAGGACAGTGCCAGAACGGTGCCAGGACAGCGTCAGGACAGTGCCAGGACAGCCCCAGGATAATGCCAGGACAGCGCCGGGACGGTGCCAGTACAGTGCAAACACATTGCCAGGACAATTGCAAAACATTGCCAGGCCAGCGCCACGAAATCAAAGAACAGCTCCAGGACAGTGCAAGAACAGTGCCAGGACTATGTCAAGACAGCGGAAAAGCAGTGCCAAGATAGTGCCAGTACAGTGAACGTTTAATGCCTGGACAGCGCGAGGACAGTGCCTTGACAGCGCCATGATAGTAACAAAAACAATGCCTGGACAGCGCTAGTGAAACACAGTGCCAGGGCAGCGCCTAAACAGTGCTAGGACAGTGCCAGGACAGTGCCAGGCCAGCGCTTGCACAGTGCCAGGCCAGCGCCTGGACAGTGCCAGGACAGAGTCAGGACAATGAGAAACAACGCTAGGACTGAACAAGTTGTGCCAGGACAGCGCCAGTACAGTGCCAGAATCGTGCTCGGACAGCGCCAGACTCGTGACCAATCCGCCTGTGACCGCTTCCTGGCGGATTGGGTCACGACGGATCTCTCCTTGGACTCCCCGCGGGCGGATTTACTCACAAATCTCTCCTGAGTGCCCGCCAGGGTGATTCGGTCACGAATCTATGTTTGGAGGCCCCAAGGAGAGATACTCCGCCCGGGGGGCGCCCAAGGAGAGATTCGTGACCTAATCCGCGGAGGGGCGCTCCCAGGAGGGCACCCTGTTTGATTTGAGTCGTAATTTATCCTTGGGGTTTTCAAGCAGAGACCCTGACCAAATCAACCCCGGGGGTCGGTCGCCCAAGGAGAGATTCGTGACCTAACCCGCCCACGGGCGCTCCCAGGCGAATTTGGTAACGAACCTCTCCTGAAATCCGCCCGGGGTCGCTCCCGAGCGGAATCGGTCACGGATCTCTTTTCTGGAGGGCTCGATGGAGAGGGTCGTGACCAAATTAAATTAGCCCAGGGGTCGCCCGAGGAGAGAATCGTGACCTGACCCGCGCTGGGGCGCTCCCGGGAGGGCCCACGGTCTGATTTGAGTGCGAATCTCGAATCTCTTGTTGGAGGGCGCCTTGTGAGAGGTTAGTGACCCAACCACTGGGGCGCTCCTGGGAGGGTCCCCCAGTTTAATTCGAGTATGAATCCTTCCCTGGGGCCTTCCACGGAGAGATTCGTGACCATATCCGCCCGGCGCTCTCGGGAGCGCTCCCCCGCTTAATTGGACACGCGTTTGGCGCTGTGCTGGTACAGTCCTGGCACTGTCCTGGCACTGCGCTGGCACTGTCCTGGCGCTGTCCTGGCAATGTCCTGGCACTGTCCTCGCACTGTCTTGGCACTGTTTTTTCACTGTCCTGGCGCTGCCCTGGCAGTGTTTTTTTTAATGTTCTGGCGCGGTTCTGGCACGTTTTTTGTTCACCGTCTTGGCACGGCACCAGCACTGTCCTGGATATGCTGTTGTTTTTCGTGTGTGTGCATTTTGTGCTACCAATCGAGGGCTTAGGTTTTTTGATCCAGCCGTCACCCCGAATGATGTTCCTCAGGTCAACCTCAGGTCCCTCAATGGGCTCCCTTCTGGCGCTCCTCATGCATCTAAGCGCGAGTGATGCCCCCAAAGGCCTCGTGCATCGAAGCGCAGTTGATGCCCCAAAGAGGCTCCGTTCCATGTGCAAGGTTCTGTGCAGTCAGGACGCCGAAATATGGACCACGTTGGCATCAGGAGGGGCTCTCGTTTTCGGGCTACTTTTAGGTCTTGGTCGGAGAAACTAGCCTGGCCGAGGCTCCCCGTGGCCCGAAAAAGAACCTATGTTCCGTACTGAGCGCTACGTATTTGGGGTGGCTTTGCCGCTCGGGCGCCAGCCACATCCCTGACTGGGAAGGGCGCTTTCGGCCAAGCGCCGTGTTCTGTTTCTGCGGATGCATGGCCTCTGCGGCCATCTGCAGACACGGCGTGGTTTTCCTGGCATGCGACCCTGGGGGCGTGGACCATGGATGTGTGTGTGTGTGTGTGGCATGTGCGGGGAGGCGGCGGCTTCAGCGCTGCCCCGCGCAGGCGTGCACCGGTGGGCGTGCACGCGCGTATCGGCATGTGCGGTGCAGATCGCGGACAGGGAAGATGCGAACCCAGAAGAGGCGAGCCTCGAAGAAACGAGCCGCTGTGCATTTGTACAGCCGGGGCGCTGAAGAAGGAACCCTTTTCGTTGGGGAGGGGCTCCGTGTTCCTCAATTGTTTCGCTGTTTGCCTTAGGTTTCCCCGAGGTTTTCGATGGGAAGTCTAAGTTCAACTTATGGAAAAAGGGGCCTCGTTCCTTATCTAGGGTTCCTTAGGTCAACGCCCCGACTGTACGGCAAGACGCTGGGCCGCACCAGCCCCGATGCCCAAGCGGCTTGAGAGCGAGCCCCATGGGAGGCTCGCGCCGCCTCGCGGCCCCCGACGCCGCGGAGCCCACGACGCCCCGCACCCCGCGCTCGGCGCCCCCCTCCGCGCGCGGGGCCGTGGGCCTGGGGCCCAAGCAGGCCAGTCGCCGTCGCTGCCGTCGCCCGCCGCCGCCGCCTTCGCTCAGTATCGTTTATCCGACTCCCATCCCCATCCTCGGGCCCCTCAGGACCCCCATCAAATTATCTCCCCAGTTGGGGCTACACTCCTCGAAGCCCGAAGGGAATGGTTCATATCCCCATCGAGGGGGGGAAATCGGCCAGTGGGGCCCAGGCCACGCCGCTGGGGATGGGGATCGGATAAACGATGCTCATTCGCCCGCCGTCGCAGTCGGCGCCCGCCGTCGGCGTCGGCGGCGCCGGCGCTCGTCGGCGTCGGCGTCGGCGCAGATCTCCGACGGCCTGCTCTCTTTTTTTGCAGCGCGGGGCTCTCCTGGTGCCTCAGGGCCCCTTCCCACGCACTGCCCTTTTGCGCCCCCGGGCCTCCTTTTGACGGCCCCCGGGCCCGAGGCGTGCTCGCGGAGCCCGAGAACGGCGAAGCACTTCCGCCTTGCCTTTTCCCAGACGTCGGAGGTCTGGGTCAGCGTCTTCCTGCGCGAGGCCGCTCTCAGTGGCCCCCGCAGGCGGTGCCGCCCGCGCCGGAGGCGGGCGCAGCTGGTGCGCCGCATGCCGGGCCGCAGGGGAAGGTCGCCCCCCAGGACGCCCCGATCGCTGCGGTGCTCCCGACGAGGGGGCTTCCGCCGAAGGCCGGGAGAGGGCAAGCAGGCGCCACCACCAGGCCCCCACAGGCCAGCTGCGTCGGTGTACAGCAGGCCTCGGCCAGCCATACATAGACGCTGGGCGAAGAGAACAGTTGCGCTGGCCGACCGAACACCAACGCTGACGTCGGCTATACACTGACGCTGGCGTCGGCGTATCGCCGCCGACATCCCACGAAGGCGGCGCGCCGAACACTCCCGCCGCGCCTGCCGCTGGACTCCCTCGCCCTGGCCGCGGCCGAGGGCGCGGGCGGCGCCGACCAGGCCGCGGCGAGGGGCGGCCGTCGCCGCAGCCGTCGCCGCCGCTGTCTCTGCAGCCGCTGCCGTCAGCTCGGGGGAAGGCGAAGGATCACCACCACCACCACCACCACCACCACCACCACCACCACCACCACCACCACCACCACCACCACCATCACCACCTCCACTACCAGGAGAGCCATCTCCAGCGAGGATGCCCATGCCTTCTCGAGCTGGGGATCAGGAGTGTCTCGAGCGAGAGGGGGGGCACCACACCACCAGAGGGACCCCCCTGGCTCCCGCTAATGGTCCCTGGTGGTGGCGTCGCTTCTCCCTGTTCCTACAATGTCCGCGCAGCCGCAGCCGCCGCAGCCGCAGCCGCCGCAGCCGCTGCTGCCGCTGCCGCTGCGCGGGCCAGGCCCCCCTGAGCGGCCGGCGGGCCTCCGTGGTGGGGCCGTCGCCGGCGCAGGCGGCCGCCGCCGGCGGGACGCAGGCCTCGGGCGTCCCCGAACAGTGTAGTTCGGAGGCGGGCAGAGCCCCCAACAGTGACACGTCGATTAGTGAATTGTCCGTTCTCGGTTCTCGAGAGGGCGCCGTGGCCGTTATTTTCCAGGCTTGCGCCCGCCAGGTGTGGGCCTCGGGTCGTTTTCACTAAACCACGTTTTACTAAAGGGGGGTCTGTCCATCCCCGAACGCCGCATGGTGAGTCGGTGGGGATTCGAGATCACCGCTTAGAGCCGGCTGGTCGTCTGAGGTGGCCCAACATTGGTTCTGGCCACCAGGAAGGGGGGGCGGGTCCAAGGTTTTGGGTTCGGGGAGGTTTTTTGTTTTGTTTTTTGTTGCCTCCAGGGGCCGTCTTCGGACCCCAGTATTGTAAAATCGGATCCTCTGGCTCTGGTCACTGGTCCGAGGGCCCCGTTGTGCTGTGTTTTCTCGTGTCTCGACGTTGGTCCCGAAAAGGTGCCTGCTAGCTGAGTTGGTAGCCCCGCAGGTTCGTCGTGTTCGGGCGCTTTTGGCAATAGGGATACGTCCGTGCTGCGAGCCGCGGAGTGCGTGAGCCTCCCCCAGGTGCAAGTTGCCCACGTCTAGCGCACTCGCGGAACTTGTGCAAGTGTTTGGCCGTCGCTGAGGCACTTGCTGACAGCGTTCCTACTGAGCCCGCCGCCGCCCCCCTCCTCTTGCTCCTCCTGATCCTTCTCCTGTTCCTGCTCCATCCCCTTTCCTTGCACATAATTTCTCCTTGTTGTTCCCCTAGGCGCGTCGGCAGTGCGGGCTGGGCGTTTCGCTTGAGAATGCCTCGCCAGTTTTGACCCCGAGGCTTGAAATTTGCAACAGCTTCACGCATGGAGGGCGGGTCGTTTGCAAAATGTGGCTCTCGCTTCAGCGCCGCGCACGTTCATATTATGGAAGCCAACGTGGACCCAGCACAATGTGTTTCTAGCTGGTGCAATGTATGTGGTGCCATCTATGTGGTGCACTGGCTTTTTGACAAACGAGTTGACACATTCCGCGCTCTTACAACAATCCCGCCCACCCACCCGCAACTTGGTTTGCAAAACCCATGCGCGGCGATTGCTATGAGTGCTTGGCGTTGGTTGGTGCGTCTCTGCAGCCGCGCTAGGCCGCGCATGCTCGCGCGCACAGCGGCCAGCTAGTCTGGCGCGACGTGCGCGGCCGCGGTGGCGTTGACCGGTGGGCACTTCCCAGCGAGCGCTTCAATGCGAGTCGGTGACTTGGGCGGGCGCAGTATCATGGCGACGCCGACGACGGTTGACACGATTATGAGAGCGGTGATGATGGTGTCGATGGTGGCGATGACGAGTGCGGGGCCAATGACGGCGCCGATGTTGGTCACGCCGGCCTGTAACGATGACGATGTCTTCGCGTCGGCGATGAAGGTTTGTGAACGAGTTCGACATGCGCGCGCGGCCGACGCGCGCGAGTGGCCCGTGTGGTTATATTTGACACGGATCGTGCCCACCATCTGCACGCGCGCGAAGCCGTCGAATGAATTGGGCATTCGGCGCGACAGGCACTTTTGGCAGAATGTGATGGACACGTCGAAAAAAAAACAGTGGTTTCTCACGAACCCGCAAAACCGCGAGCGCAATTGTTTTGGAAAACTGATGTTCCACAACCATGGTCTTTGTGTGTTCAGGACGCCCGTTGTTGGAATCCTTGCGAAACCTAGAGTTGTTGCATGATTTTGGCATGCGCGCCACGACGCGCGCGCGTGCACGTCGTCATGTTTTTTGCATGTTTGTTTTTGCGATAGCACGCGCGCAAGAGCGTTCGAACGATTTAGACATGCGCGCGCGAGAGGCCTGTTCGGTAGCATTGTACGAACATGTTGGGAAACCTCTGGTTTGTTACGAATTCGCAAGAGCGCGGGCGCAGTTTTTGTTAGAACCCCTGATGCGAAATCTAAGTGTTTCCTTATTTCCGTGATTCTCGATTTTGAAATCCTTGCGACACCTTTCTGGTTTTTGAAGGATTTCGGCATGCGCGCGCGACGACGCGCGCGCGTGTGCGAGTCGTCCCGCTTTTTGGGAAAAAGGATTTCTGCAAACGGCTGATTTTTTGGACCAGCGAGTGCGCGCGCATAGTTGTTTCGGCAGAGGATGAAGGGGGCGAATTCCAGCCTGGCTGGGATGGTATGGATTCATGTTAAGGGTGGGCGATGGGGCAGAATCAAAAGTAAACTGCAATGCGGAAAAAATGTTCGGTTAATCCCGGGGGGCAGTAGGTCATTACATTTGGTAAAAATGAGAATATAGCTGGGGCAATGTGTTTGGTGCAATCTATGTTGTGAACTCTATGTCGTGCAATAATTGTTATGCCGTAAATGTGGTGCGACATAACAACGTATGTGGTGCCATCTATGTGGTGCAATCGTTTTTTTGAGTTGACGCATCCCAAATTCTTGCAAACATCCCACCCACCCACCCGCAAATTTGTTTGCAAAACTCATGCGGCGGCGATTACGATGAGTATTTGGCGTTGGCTGGTGCGTCTCTGCGGCCACGCTAGCCCGCGCATGCTCGCGCGCACAGCGGCCAGCTAGTTTGGCGCGACCTGCGCGGCCGCGGTGGCGTTGACCGGTGGGCACTTCCCAGCGAGCGCTTCAATGCGAGTCGGTGACTTGGGCGGGCGCAGTATCATGGCGACGCCGACGACGGTTGACACGATTATGAGAGCGGTGATGATGGTGTCGATGGTGGCGATGACGACTGCGGGGCCAATGACGGCGCCGATGTTGGTCACGCCGGCCTGTAACGATGACGATGTTTTCGCGTCGGCGATGAAGGTCTGTGAATGAGTTCGACATGCGCGCGCGGCCGACGCGCGCGAGTGGTCCGCGTGGTTATATTTGACACGGATCGTGCCCACCATCAACACGCGCGCGAGGCCGTTGAATGAATTGGGCATGTGGCGCGACAGGCACTTTTGGCAGAATGTGATGGACACGTCGAAAAACCGGTGGTTTCTTGCCACCCTGTGCGCGCGCGCAAGGGCGTTCGAATGAGTGCGACATGCGGCGGGAGAGGCCAGTTTGGCAGAATTTGATGGGCAGGTTGCACAGTTAATGAGTTTTTTTAAGGATCCGCGAGACCGCGAGGGCAGTTTGTCCCCCCCGACAGCTGTTGTTGCAAAACCATGTGTTTTTCCTAACCATCCTGTGGTGTTGGGTCCTCGTTTTGAAGTGACAGCGCCCCGCGTTCTCCTTTTTCCTCTCATCCTCCTCCCCCTCTGCTCTTCCCCCTCCTCCCCCTTCATCCCCCATCCTGCTCTCAATCGTGCTGACTCCATCCTCCATCCTGCTCCATGTCGGCACGCTCCTCACACGGCTCGTGCCCCCCACGGGGAGCTCCACATAAGGCTCCAGTGGCGACGACGTTCCCATGCGCCCCTGCCACCCATTTTGGCACACCCCTGACACGGTTCGTGGCCCCATTGCGACGTTCCCATGTGTCCCCGCCACCCATTTCCCCCCCCCTCCGCCTTTTTCACATGTTTCCTGATTCCATAGGGAGCTCCACATCCGGCTCCAGCGGCGATGTTCCCATGCGTCCTCGCCACCCATTTTGGCAAACCATTTCACACGGTTCTTGGCCCCATAAGGAGCTCCACATGAGGCTCCAGTGGCGACGTTCCCATGCGTCCCCGCCACCCATTTGAGCATACCCTGGGCATGGTTCGTGGTCCCATAGGAAATTCCACCGAAGGTTCCACTGGCGACGTTCCAATGCGCCCACGCCTCTCATTTCAGCACACCCTTCACACGGTTCGTGGCCCCATTGGGAGTTCCAACGAAGGCCCCAGCGGCGACGTTTTCATGCGCCCCCGCCACCCATTTTGGTACAACGTACAAACGATTCGTGACCCCATGGAGAGGTTCACCCAAAAGTCCCAGTTGCGACGTTCCCATGCGTCCCCGCCACTCATTTTGTCTCACCCGTCACGGTTCGCTGCCCCACAGGGAAGTCCATCTAAGAGCCCAATGCGACGTTCCCATGCGCCCCCGCCACCCATTTCGGCACACCCCTTCACGCGGTTCGTGACCCCATAGGGAGCTCCACTCGAGGCTCCAGTGGCAAAGTTCCCATGCGCCCCCGCCACCCTTTTTGGCATACCCCGGGCACGGTTCGTGGTCCCAGATGGAGCTCCACCGAAAGCCCCAGTGGCGACGTTCCAATGCGCCCCCGCCTCCCGTTTCGGCAAGCGCCCCACACGGTTCGTGGCCCCATAGGGAACTCCACTTAAGGTCCCAATGCGACGTCCCATGCGTCCCCGCCATTCATTTTGGCACACCCCTTCACACGGTTCGTGGCCCCATATGGAACTCCACCGAAGGCTCCAGTGGCGACGTTCCAATGCGCCCCCGCCTCCCATGTCGACAAGCTCCCCACACGGTTCGTGGCCCCATAGGGAGCGCCAGCGAAGGCCCTAATGGCGACGTTCCCATGCGCCCCCGCCGCCCATGTTCGGCACACCTTCACACGGTTCGTGGCCCCATAAGGAGCGCCAACGAAAGACGATATCCACAATTGCGGCACTCACATTTGCGAATGGTTGTGTCGTTCGCCGGGTTTCTGTTTCATATGTGTTCGGGAATCTCGTTTTTTTCTGAAGTCTTGACGACACCGAAAGTTTTTGCAGGATTTCGGCATGCGCGCGCGGCGACGTGCGCGTGCGGACGTCGTTCCTTTTTTTGCAAGGGGTTCCTGCTACAGCACGCGCGCAGTGGCGGTCGAGCGATTTCAACATGCGCGCGCGAGAGGCCCGTTTGGTAGCATTTCACGAAAAGGTTGAAACATTACAGTGTTCCTAGACATTCGCAAGAGCACGGGCGCTGGCGTTTGTTTGAAGCCCCTTGTTGCGAAACCATGCGTGCTTTTCCATGATTTTAGGACATTCGATGTTGGATTTCCTACTGAAGCGATGGTTTTAAAGATTTCGGCATGCGCGCGCGACGACGCGCGCGTGTGAATT